GCTTGGAACCCCCCCCCCCCCAAACCCATTAAGTCAGGTGATAAGTGAAACCATGATGCTAGCTGCTGTACTGAAAGCAATGCAATGAAAGTAAGCATTTCTTCCCACTCAGCTCATGCAATATATTAAAAAAATACTTTGTTTCTCCGTGGGCAACAAGCCATCCTCTAGTTCTCACTTCCTTGGCGTTCTTTTCCTGATACAAGCAACCTTAAATCACATTCGTAACTTGTATATAGCATTATACTCATCTTTTCTACCAGTCCTTGCTCAATAAACAAACTCGTCCCTTCTTGGAGATCACTTTTAAGGTAGAGCTGAATACATTTCAGCAGCAGCGAAACGTTCTGGAATTCATTCTTGTCCAGCTCCTATAGAAACATACAGAGTGTCGCGCTTTATTAGTCTGATACCCATAGAGCTGGGCATTAAAATGGTTAAGATTATTTATGGTACTCACCTTTCTCAGTGCTTTGTCTAGCTGGTTGAAGAGAGATTTGCTGTATTTCTGGGGAGGCTCTATTTCTCTCTCCTGAAGCAGTTCGCTTATTTTCTGAAATCCTTTCCCCTTAAAAGCGTCAGTGAGAAGCGATTCGAGCTGCAGAGGGAGGAGAAGCAAACAACTAGCGATTAAAATAAGTGGGCATTTGAATCATTACAGCAGTGATTGTGAGAAAATACTTGCAATGCTATTTTAAAAGTTGTAGGCTTTTTTTTTTATTTGTTTTTACTTTGTTTCTCTACTTTCATTTTACTTTTACATCTGAAAGTGAAACATCAGTCTTAATTTCCAAAAGAGACAGGACCTTCAAAACTGAGTAACCTTAAAGGATACTGAATAAAGAAATAAGCAACTCTTTTAGTGCACTTAATTTGTAATTTTTACCACATCCCGCAACTATTCCAATCATTTCTTCCCACTTACTAAAGAAAAGATTAAAAGGTTTGCTGCACTTCCCACATTACATTAAATTACTAAAAATTCTAGATCATGCCATATCCATTTAAGAATGCACCTTTAAATATATATACAACTATTCGTAAGATAAAGCTAAGGATGCATTTAAAAGATATTTACAAAGTCGTCTGCTCTGGCTGCCATGTTGCCATTCACGTCTCTATTCCGTTCTTCACTTTTTTCTTCCTTTAAAAAGAAAAGGGAGAGAAAAGTACAGAAAAAACGCTTTTTCTGCCCAAAAGCTGAAGACCGTTTACTCACCCTCACTCTCTCCCAAAAGGCTGTTTTTCCTTCCCTATTTCCTAAGGAAAGTAACTGGAG